GATACTCTTCATGTACCCTCCTTATTAGTTCTACTACTCATGCGATTGAACAATTTCTATCTTATGATAGCTTGTCTCCTACTTTTCGTAGTTTTACATCATTTGTCTTGTCTCCTTTTGTTTCTCACAATGTTCATGAAAGAGGAAATCACTGCTCTACATGACAATCAAACTTGGGAACTTTTTCCTTTTTCTTTTGGTAAGAAATTAGTTGGTTGTCGATGGGTGTATGTTATCTAGTACTTGCCAGATGGTTCCATTGAAAAGATTAAAGGCTCACCTAGTTGGGAAGGGTTTTACTCAAACATATGGTGTGGATTATGCTAAAATCTTTTCTTCTGTTGCCAAGATCTCCTCTGTTCGGATAATTATCTCTCTAACAGATAATTTTCAATGGTTATTGTTTCAATTAAAAGTCAAAAATGCTTTTCTGGTGATTTGATGGAGGAAATTTATTTGGAGCAACCACCTAAGTTTGTTGCTCAAGGGGAGTCTCATGGTAAGATATGTAAATTATGGGTGATATATGGTCTAAGACAATCACTTCGAGCGTAGTTTGGCAAATTCAGTAAAGTTGTGTTAGATTTTGGACTTCAACAATTTTAAGTAAATCACTCTGTGTTTAGTAAGAATTATGAATCTGACATGATCATTTTAGTTGTCTATGTGGACAATATTGTTATTACACAGAGTGATACTGTAGGTATTATTGCCCTAAAACATTCTTGTAGCAGAAGTTTCATATTAAAGATTTGGGTAAGTTTCGATACTTTCTTGGAATTGAAGTGATAACATCCAAGAGTGGTATGAGTTTGTCTCAATGCAAGTATGTATTAGATCTACTTGCTGAAACAGGACTTAATCGGTATAAAACCGATTGATACTCCCCAGGAATCTAATATAAAATTGAACACTGAACAGAGGGAGCTATTTAAATATCCAAAAAGGTATAGAAGACTAGTGGAAAAATTGAATTATTTGACTATTACAAGACCAGACATCTCTTTTGTGGCTAGTGTTGTAAGTCGGTTTATAGAATCTCCAAGAGTACCTCGCTTGGAGGCAGTGATTAGAATCTTGAGATATTTTAAAAAGGCTGTTAGTCAGGGATTATTATATAGAGCTCATAGACATTTGTTTTGTAGGTAGTTGGTTTTACTGATGCGGGAGGTTTCCTCACAAGATACAAGATCTACCACAAGGTATTGTACATTTCTTGGAGGAAATTTGGTGATTTAGAAAAGTAAGAAACAGAGTGTTGTGGCCCGATCTAGTTCTAAGGCGGAATATAAGACTATGACTCAAACTACTTGTGAATTGATATGACTAAAGAATTTATTGCGTGAGATTGGTATTTCAATAACCTCTCCAGTGCAATTATTTTGTGAAAATTAGGCTTCAATTCATATTGTTTCAAATCCAGTCTTCTACGAACGAACAAAACATATTGAGGTTGATTGTCATTTTTTTCGCGAAAAGCTTCAATTGAATGAGGTTAGTACTTGTTTCATATGGTCTGCAGATCAGTTGGTAGACATCTTCACCAAGTCGCTCGGTAGAGACAAAATTGGAAATATTTGTTCCAAGCTACGACTATTTGATATTTTTAGTTCAGCTTTAGGAAGTCCTAGTGCATGAGGGATAATATAGTCATTGTTTCATTCCATATGTGTAACTATATGTATCTCTCTCTCTCTTTCATTTTCTCTCATTGATGATACTGTTTACATCATGGAACCAAGATTAATAGTTGGTTCCGTTCAATTTCAGAAGTGATTTGCCAGTATGAATAGTGAACCAGTCAAACTGAGTCATCTACCGAAGGAGTAAGTTGCCATAATACACCCAAAAACAAGGATTGAGTAGTAGGGAACAAATCGCCACAAATGGAAGCTTCAACCAACCACTGATCACCCAACCAAGGAGCATAAACCAGTACCCAACCAATCACGTAACAAAGAACAACCAGTCACCAACAACACAACGAAACACAACAGATCCACAACCTACTCAAATGAAAAAAAAGAAAAAAGAAAAATCTTTTTGTCAGAAATTCAGAAAGCCCAATTACCCGATGGAAGGAATCACACCATAGGCCTTCAAACACAACACATAATCCAAAAAAGAGCCAAACTGAGGCCACTGGTAGAGTACCGATTCTCGAACAATCCCCCAAACAGTGGCTGAAACTAGATTTGGGCCAAACCACGTCACAAACCAACCAAATGTAGGGCATCACACAGGAGGATTACCCCAACCAAATCGCACCCCTCTACTTCTGATTGAAGCAACAAACACCACAAATTAGCCCTAAATCAACAAATCAGAAAAATAGGCCCTATTTTTGCAAAAAACATTGAAAAATCGCAAACCCTAATCAGATGACCTCAAAAAAATAAACAAAAATCACCAATATTACTATATAAAATATCCCAGGTGGGTGAGTTTTGATGATTGGAAGCTGATTATGCCATGCCGATGTTAGCATGATGTCACCACTTACAATGACGTTAGCGACCAGAAAATTCTTCCCAAGCCTTCTATGATATTTTCATGATGATATGTAATGTTGGATTGATGCTCTGATGCAAGTTAAAACGTAAAATAATAGTGTTGTAGTAGAAGAAAGAGAGAAGAAGATGGACAGAGATAAAGAGAATGAGAATAATTTGTGTGTAGTGCTGCGCTACACCCTCTTATTTATACTAGTTGATGTACACGTATATTGTACGTGAACTATTTTCAATACAAAATCCTATATATTTAAAACTGTGAACCATTAATCTGAAAATACACATTTTTTATAAACATTGACAAATAATTAAAAAAAGAACTCAGTTCTATAAGAAACCCCAAAAAAAATACTATCTAACATAACATTTCAAGTTGGGTGTAAATGCATCTTGTGCATTCCACCATATATTTTAGATTTTTGTAGTTTTGGTAACATTCTTGTTTGCAAGATACTCCATTTTGAAGTTCTCACAGCATGATTGGAGAAACATCAAGAAGCGCAGAAGCAATAATTTTACCCAATGAACCTAAAGCAACAATTATATGCAAGTAGACAACTTTCCACTCAGTAAAATGGGATGATTATGTTCACGGTTCTGTTAAAATATATATGAATTTATCAAAATTGGCAAGTACCCAGACGAAATTGGCGACTTTGAAGACTTCTATTCACCCATTAATACATGGACTTTGTTCAATGTTCATGTAAGGTTATTTTTTTCCTCCATTTGCAATAAGCAGACTTCAAAAGGACATGACTTATTTTTCATGAATTTTCTAGATTAATTAAGCTAAAATTAGAGTGTCTTCCATGAAAAAAATCAGAAACAACATTTCCTACTTTTCCATTTTAACAAACATTTTAGTCATCTCAGATCAATGTTAGTAGGATCTATTGAGTAATTTCAAAGAAAGTTCCAACCTAAACAGTATGTGATAAAGATTTGTCTTGGAAAGATTTGTCTTGGAAAACAGTATGTGATAAAGTTTATCATTAGACAAATGATAAACTCTGGCTCTTAATTCAAATCTCCAAGGATGGCAAAAATATCAATTCCACTAATATTAGATTCACTACAGTTCGCACAAAACATACTTCTTGAACAACATGCACCTTAGCATTTTTATCTCACATAGCAAATCAATATGTACTAATATTGGATTGCTCATGAAATCTTTACCACAACTAATACCTACACATTCTAACACCCACATTCTCCCATCCAAATACAATGATTATTGTCAAAACCTTATCTTAGCTACTTGGGGTCGGTTAATAAACTTAAAACTGATAAATAAGAAAAATAGTTTAACCCGTAAAGTGGCAAATAATCACCAAAGTTGAATAGTATTCACTCATTATCTTTTTATTATCAGCAAGTTTTAGTTTTAAATGAGCAATGGTAGAGAGCCAAAATGCAAAGAAATTATTGGATCGATGAGATCACTGAATTTTTTTTAAGGGACCCACTCATTCAAGGGTCCTTGCTTATTTGAGATCTTATTTAGGATCCCAAATTAGTATTTTTCATACTATATTCCTCAAGAAAATTTCATGATGACTGGCATCTATCCAGCACAGTCCAAACACCCTAATACTTTACCCCCTGCTTCTACAAATAAAATCTTACAAACTGAACACATAGCATTAATAAACAACAATTATCAGCATGACTATATGCTGCGTCCAAAGTAAACTGACTGCAAGGGTTCTTTGATTGCAATCTCAACTTCGTTTTTACGATAACATTTGTTCTTCTCATCCATCAATTCATTTGAATACTCCTTTTAAATTTTTGAGTGTGGACTGATGACTTAGTTGGTACTATTAAATTTTGACCATATGAATATCATTCATAATTTCACCAATTAAGGTTTCCCTTATATTTTGGACTTCATCTGTTCTTAATTTCTCTTGCAAGATCGTATCGACTTTGGATTGAAATTAATGTTATTGTATTATACGTTGGCCAGACTTGTAATAGCATTATATGACCACATTTTACTAAAACACCTAAATATCACCAATAATCCCTTTGGTTTTTAGCAGCTGAAAAAACATAAAAAAAATAGCAACCGTGACCACATGCTTATATTTGCAAGGCAGAGGTGCCATCTAAATGACCCCTAGGCATCAGAAAGTAAAAAAAAAAAAAAAAAAATCTTAATAGCACACGCATTGTACCTCATTATTTTACACATCTTAAATTCCGTTTCACCTAAATTACTTGTAGATTGATTTAGCTATGTGAGCAACCATGTTTCCATACATCCACAATAAGAATACTAAAGCATCAGAGATAACCATAAAGTTCAAAGGCTTAAAACTGAAACATATACATGCTTTCATTATTCTTCTTAACTTTTGTGAATTTCTAACTACATATAATTGTTTTATGCACATGCACACACACAAAATAGATCAGCTGTATCTTAAAATCCGTAAACATATGCTTATGTACAATTACAGCCTCACAATCACCATAATGTTGCACTCATCAATCAACACATTACCACATTACAAGCAAGTCTCCTTGGAGGAGGATGTGAAAATGGTGAAAAGGTCATGAAAAAGTGGAAAAGGCTTTGGGATTGATCCAATCTCTATATTTCTCTGATTACCATCCAGAAGTTTTTATATGAGATGATAAAAAACTATGCACTTTAATGTGTCAGAAAATAGGATCGATGAAGTGTTCCCTATTTACAGGCAAAATTCGATGAATGAATGGAAGCACAACCCATTAAAATTTGCTCATGAAGATTATGGTGAATTGTAAAACATGCTACATAGAATTGTAAAATAGAGAATATAGGAAGCCGCTAAAAGAAGGGAGAAAAACTATAAAGAGAAAAGAAAGCAAATAGCTTTAGAAAAATTAGAACCCAAAGAAAGCAACACGATATACAGGATGTTTTTATCAGAAGATCGAACAGTTCCTATAAATTAATAAAAAAAGAAAAGTTCACACGATATATCATAAAAACAAAGGGTGTACCTCATAGAAGAATTTTTCATAATTTCTAAGCATTAGAGAGTTCTTAGGATTTGCCTTCAAAATCTCTTGTGCTCGTGTTTATCGCTATCGGTACCGCCATGATAAAAAGAGGGACATATCAAATATGTATAGAAGAGAGCAACTAGAAGGAGGGAGAATCTGGAAGAGTTCATAACTGACCGAAGATTGAAATCATAGCAGCAGAATCGATAGAGTTTTTTTTTTGCTTTCTAACATATGAAAGATATAAGTTCTAGCTGTATAATGAATGCTTATATATATTCAGTGCATTTTGAAGAATGATAAAATTGGTATTATAGAGTTTATTAAAAATACATTAAGAAAATAAAAGTTTTTCATCCTAAGCCACTTTTATAAGCAGTATAGAAATAGATTAAACAATATCTTGAATAATTACAAGATTACTCTACACTAGCTTATAAATATAAAACATAAAAAAATAAGAACTCTAACATAAATATTCAGCTTTTATGATCCATGGACTTCCTTGCTTGAGTCTTGGCTTAGATGTCCATAAGCGAAGACTACCTCGGGTTATCAGTCAAGTGAAATGCATGTGACTAATTCTATTAGAGATTTTAATCGCTATTTCCGAATGGAACAATTAGACTTAAAATGGAAACTTGAGGGACCAAAGTTATATTGAAACGAATGGGGACTAAACTGGTACAAACCGCATATTTGGGGTACCAAAAGTATAGTTTGCCCAATCGGAGTTAGGAATAAGAAGCTATTTCCCTGAATTACTAAGAATTTCTGTTAAGTTTGCAAAAATTCATGTTTTGGGCGACATAATGGGAAATATAATTCAAGAACTGATATCAGAAGTTTAATGGATGCCCTTTTATTTGCCTTACGTTTGGAAAGTCTTAGTGTTATTTCACACCCTCAATTGTTCTAATAGTTTGTGCGGAACGTCTTGGTAGTGTCATTTCACACCTTTACTTGTTCTAATAGTTTATGCTTGCTTCGATGTAGTGTTACATACATGCGGCTGGATGGATCAGTTGAATCAGAAAAGCGTTTTGAAGTTGTGAAGGCCTTCAATTCTGACCCGACCATTGATGTTCTTCTGCTTACGACACATGGTAAAATTCTTTTGTTTGCACTGTAAAGATTTGGCTTACTGAGAAAGAAACATGCTGAGACTGGTGTTTTGCTTATCTATAATCATTTTTGCAGTTGGTGGGCTTGGTCTGAACCTGACATCAGCTGACACCCTTGTTTTCATGGAACATGACTGGAATCCAATGCGGGATCATCAGGTGTATAGATTTTAATTTTACCTTTGTTGTCTGTGGCCTGTTCATTCATGGTAGCAACTTTTTGTCATGAATTCGTTCGTTCTTACTTATCCTTTGGTGTAGCACAATCAAGAAAACAAGATTATTTCAACCAAATGTCCTAGTCAACCTCATTGAAAATTAGTCAGTTTTGAGTATTACTAGAATTTATTGGCTTTAACTTTCCATGAGTTAGAGGCCACTGATGCAATATGTAGAAGGACTGTACCACCTTGTCTTTTCATGCTTGTTAACTAGTAACTTAGTCCCTTGGAAGCTTGGGTTGTTTTTTCATTCATCATATGACTTGAGTGGTGTTTGATAAAACTACAAATTGAGTACTGAAAACTAAATGTTAAATTTTAAGTGCCGAATGTTGAATTTTTTAATTCGTAAACTTTTTGGTATTCACTAAAATTTAAGTACTTAATTGAATCAATCTATTTGACAAATACAAGAAGTTGAATTACAAAAATTATTATTATTTTAATTTTATACCTCTTTTTTATCATCTCATTGCAACTACTTTATTTCAACAATCACCATCACTATTATTCATTACTGCCCTTACTAGATCAAATATGACACCTACGAACCGCTAAAGAGAGTTTCTCTCTCCCTCTCCCCAATGCTTTAAAGCAAAGCGGGACTTGTTTCGCTCTTTCGTCTTGGCTTCCTACTAGAATGCCTCCTTTGTTGAAGAGCCCCAAAATTAGTTAGGGCGCAAGAAGTCAAAAAACTTGCGCGATGGACATTTTCTTCTTTTCCCTCTCTTCTCCAAAGGCCAAGGGAGAGACTGCAGCCCTTTCCTTCTGTAGCTCTTTACTTTTCCAAGGATAGCGGTAGTTGGGGCGAAGTAGCAACAGTAGCAAAGTGCTAGTTGCTCTGCAACTATTGATAGTGACTCTTGATCCAATGCTAGTTGAAAATACACACATCTCTATCTTCACTACCACCACTCCACCTTCACCTTTTCTATAATTCCACCATGGTTGTTATTTGATGCCTCCTCTAACACCACCGCCCCATCATTCGTTGTCACCTACTCAAGGATTGAAATATCGTTTCGAAGTACCATTTCGGTCAGCTCAAATACATAAATATTTTGGAAAAACAGAAAAAATATAAAAATATGTGAAAACACAAATACAATCCATTTATTTATAAAGATAAGTTTAATAATTGATTAATTCAACATATTTATTTGGTTAACATCCATTTATATAGGAATAAATTTAAACTGGAGGGGAAAAAAAAAGGATTAACGTGAGGCGGAAATCACTTAAATATGACATGTATAACACTTTTAAATTAAAATATTATTTAATTAATAATAATATTTTATTGTAATACTAATTTAGTAATTAATAATATTAACACTTCGTGCAACATGTTATTATAATACTAATTTGTGTAGCATATTATTATAATACTAATTTATTAATTTAAATTGCGTCTTCAAATTAATAAATAATATTATTTCATTAATATTAAAATCATTGTATACACAATTTATACACACATAAATATTTAATTCTAGATATTTAAAAGTAATGTATAATTAATAAAATGACTTGTAGGTATTTAATATACCATTTTAACAAATAATAATAACATAAAAGAATACTTACAAAACGGAAAAAAAATAATGAAGGGTATTAACTAAAATTAATGGTACTTATGTATACTTAAAAATTAAAAGTTATAATGAAGTGAGGTATTAAATGTAATTTTTTATAGTTATAACAAAAAAAAAATACAAAAGTCAGAAGACTCTCAAAGAGTCGGTCGTGTCTCTTTCTCACCCACGAACACAGATAGAAAGAAGAGAGAAAGGAGATGAAGATGGCGATGGGCGGTGCCGATGCCGGTGAGAGAGAGAAAGATGAAGAAGATACTTGGTAGCTCGTGGGTCGCAGCTCGTAACGATGAAGACCTAAGTCCCAAGTCTTAGATCTGCGTGGCTAGGGGCTAGATCTGCTCAAATCTAGACTCAAAGAGGTAAGTTACTGAACTCTTTTCCTTCAATTTCATCTGGGTGTGTCTTTCTCTCTCTTCTCTTTGTTTTTTTTTTTTGCTTGGAAGACCTGGACCTTTGATCTCTATTTTTTTCCCTTTTTTGGGGCTTGGAGGACTTTGGCCTGGAGTGCTATTGAATGTTTCGTCGAAACGGTACTGTTTTGTCTGAAACGGTCCGACACAGTGACGTTTTGACCGAAACTTTGGAATTTTAGGATTCAAGCCATATTTCGTTTTGGTGTGTTGAAAATCCGAAACGTTTCGGACAAATTGACACGACATTTCGATCGTTGCCTACTCTGATACTATCGACATCATCATCATCCTTTCACCATCACCAAGACTACAACCAACCCACCACCACTCAATACCACCACCTTTATCACCCAACCACAACTACACCCACTACTATTGCCAAAACCTACTACCTCTATGTAACCATCGTTACTACCACCATGGTGGTTGGAGTGGATAGTAGTAGTCAGACTGGTGGTGACAATAATTGTAGTGGGGTAAGGGTGAGGGTGAGCGGTGGAACAGGGTGCTGGTGATGGTGGTTGCGATGGGGTGGTGGTCGTGAAGAAATGATAGTTGTGTTGGTGATGGTGGTTAGTTGGTTGGTGGTAACGGTAGGGTGGTGAAATGGTATATAAGCATGCTGAAGGCAATATCGGAGGTGGGTAGGTGGTGATGATAAGAGTGAAGGTAGGAGGTGGTGGCAGGGTGAGTACTAATTGTGGGTGATGGTGGTGGGGTAGCAGATATGGGGGCAAAGGTAAAGGTGGTAGTGGTAAGATGGCAATGGTGGTGGTGTTGATAGTAATGACAGCAACGACGACGGTGGTGGTGGCATGGTTGTAGTAGTAGAGGTGGTGGTGGTACCAATGGTGGCGGCAGCGACAGTCGTGATGGTGGCAGTGGCAACGGTAATGGTGGTGGTGATGATAGTGGCGACATCGGCTGCGATAGTGGTGGTGATGTGGATGGTTCAACAATGGTGGTGATGGTGTGGGGCATCAATAGTAGTGGTGGTGGTGGGACAAAGATGGGTGATGGTTGGAGGGTAGCAGTGGTACTGGTGGCAACAATAACGATGGTCATGGTGGGTGCTGGCGGCAATGGGGGAGGTGGTGGCGGGGTGGCAAGTAGTGATGATAGTGGTGATGGTGGGTGTTCGAAAATTAGTGTTAAATTGATTGAGATCAAATTACTTGAGAATAAACTTGTCCATTATGTGAAGTTTATAATATTCTTAATTTCTTACTAGTATTTCAGCATTAAGTGAAAAGTAAGTGACTTGCTACTTAGTATTTTAATCTTATTTTTAAGATGTGATTAAAATTTTAAGTAGTGTGAGTTTTGGTTATCAGACGCACTTAATTGAAAAATTGCAGACTGCTTTCAGGCTTAAGTGCTGAATTAAGTTATCAAACACTCAACCCCCCCCCCCCAAAAAAAAAAAAAAACACCCCAAACAACAACAAAAACAGTGAAGTCCCTCTGAAATAGTTGCTCCTGATTGACTATTGCTTCTAGTTGTTGCTTAATTGCATAGTCAATTCGTTTGGACTCTCATGCATCCATCCACACGCATGTGCACAAGCACATGAATGTACACACGGGATGAGATTTTATTACCTTCACTTGCTTCTTGAGAGCATGTAGTTTTTGTGTTTGTTTCCTAGAGGATTGCATGAATGAATGGCGATTTTATCCTCTATATTCTCTTGCAACGAATTTGTTATCTTTGTTACACATTTCAGGCAATGGACAGAGCGCACAGATTAGGTCAGCGAAAAGTTGTTAATGTTCATCGTCTCATAATGCGAGGAACCCTGGAAGAGAAAGTAATGAGCCTCCAGAAGTTCAAGTGTCAGTTGCTAATGCTGTCATTAATGCAGAAAATGCTAGTCTGAAAACATGAATACAGATCAGTTGCTTGATCTATTTATGTCGGCTGAAAGCAAAAAGGTATTGTTCACTTCAGTTTCACAAGCCGGATTTTTTGAATGCACTATTTTACTTATACTTTTTACTAACATAATCAAGGCAAAATTTATTATGTTTGAACCTTTTCCCCTTTATAAAATTGTTTTCCAGGGAGCTAACACATCGAAAATCTCTGATGAAAACTTTGATGGGCAACCAAAATTATCGGGTCGTGGAAA